TTTGTAAAATTTTTTTTTTTTTTTTTTTTTTTTTGCTATATGCCTCTGTTTTTCTTGTTTCTTATGGCATTATCTTTGAGAAATATCTGCTTTCTGAAAGTATGTAATACAAAAGGGAGAAAGTAAACTGCTCTTTCTAAAAATCAGAAATTTAGGGTGGAGTAATATAGGTATGCTTTTCTTTATTCTTTATCAAAATATTATGAAATTGTACAGTTTTTATAGAATGTTATAAAAATGTATACAATTTTACAGTTGAGATTTATATTGTGGAATTCTTTGAAAAATTTTATTATGTGTTAAAATGAACTGTTAGCCATTTTTAAGTAGAAAAATATTATATATATATATTTATTGCTCACATATATAAATAAATCAGATTAAAAAGGGTATAGCATCTGAATGATAGGATGAATAATGATGTACTGTAGCAGAATTAAATGTTGGCTTTTGAAATTATAATTTCAGATTAATTTGAAATTATAATTTAATCCATAGACAGGTGATGATGGTTGTTCTAATCCTAAATTCACACTAAAATCTTTATTTTAAAAGGTGAACCTACTTTTCCCTAGGAAGAGTAGGAAGAAAAATAATTTTATTGTTCTAATATTGTTACTTCAAAATTTTTTTGACAGTAAAGAAATTAACTTTAAATTCTCATTTTTGAAAGACCATTTTTTGTCCAGTGGGCAGCATTTCGTAAAGAAATCCCACTTATCTCTTTTCTGCTCTTAGTCACTTTGTTCTCAGCCTGCTGTTCTATTTTTCTTATGAACTAATTTAGTGAAATAAGGTGAGAGTCTTTTTACTTACTGTTCTGTGTTGAATCTCTTCCCTCTTTATCCTTGTTCACACACTGATATTGAGACTTGCCTTTTGCATTCTTTCTGAACAGTCTCCCCTTTTCACCCTTTCTTTTTCCTGTTCCCTGTCACCTTTCCTTGCTGCTCTTTGCTGCATCGTTATATTTTCACTTGTCCTAGTGTCACTGTTTTGTATTCTTTCAACATGATGCTTTCACTCCCTTTTTCCATTAAAATAAAAGAATTCTTGGTCAATCCTTTATCGAGACTTAAACAAATCCCTTTCCTTGAAATATTTGGAGACTTTTAGATGCCTGTTTTCAAAGTTTTGATTTAATTTCAAAGTGGGAAAAAACTTAAATTTTAGTAGAAATATTTGTGATATTATATCATGGGGCACTGTCTCTTGATGGCACTGCCAACATTCAACAGATAATTTATAATTTAATGATAGTTTAACACATGCATGTTATTCAAATAATGTTATAATTATGATGCCCATCATTAGGTTTAGCAATACAACTGCATTTTGAGTTTTTTCCCTATCTAATACAAATACAAAGAATTATTTCATTTGGCAAATTAAATAATGTTGTAGTGAAAATGTTAATTTGACAATAAATCACAGTTTTAAATGCCAGATGCCCTGGCTTAATGTTGTTCAGAAAGTTTATTTAGAGAATATAAAATGTGACTTAGTGTTCCTGTATGTCAGGCTTCACAGATGAGGTATGGTGCCTGATATTAATCAGGTTAAAGGACCTCCAGTGCTTGGAGTGTGTTGTGGATTATACCTACATCGCTCATAGCCTCCCCCCCACACCCCCACCCCCGCCCTTGCCCATATTAGCAATCTGCTTTTGTACTTTGACTTCCAGGATTTCCCTAGTGAATTTTGTCACAGAAAAAAGAGAATCATCAATATCGCAGTTAAACTTGACTTTCAAAGCTAATAGTATCTCATTTGGGGGCTCAAATTTAATAAATTTTCTTTGATTCTGGGTGAGTTTTTAAACATCAAACAATGAATTGGCCAGGGTACAGTAAAATATTTAGATCTATTGACTGTTGTTCAGAAGGGTAGAAGGCAAAACACTAGTGGTTTGATGTTGATAAATTCTCAGTACCTTAATCCACATTAATGTTTTCTTTTATCTGAGTGCACATTGGTGACAAAAAAAAAAAAGGCAAGAGAAGGTGTCCATACATATAAGATATAAAACCTAAATCATATTTCACAAATGTCTTTGCTTTATTTTGTTAAGTGAGTTAAAAGCATTCTCATCTTAACTGAAGCCTGGAGAATGTTCGTTACAGATAAATATACATTCTGAATTAGGACTCCGGCGTGAATATCATACTCACACTGTTATAGAAATTGCATTATAGTGTATGTTTTACAGCATACACTTTGACATTCACTTATTGACAGAAATTCTTCAGCTCAACTTGAGAGTATAAGGATTTTTATAACTTAGATTAGCACGAACGATGAAAGATGTCATCATGTATTTGCGCATGTTTGCTGATTTAAGGAAACTCTATGTAGTACGATAGTTCATTCATAAAGTAAGAAATAATTCAAACAGTTTTACAAGCTGGAATAGAAAAATGAAGGTTGGGATTTCTATCATATATTATTGCCAAGTTACATATGAAATTGCTCAGGTAAAACTAGAGATATAAATACATTTATTTGAGCAATGATAGTTCTCCCCATTCTTGACCTTTGCTACCTCATAAAAACTCATTTTTTCCTGTGGTTTTAAGCTAATTGTATACTATTTATCAAATATACGGTGTCAAAGAGATAATTTTTTAAAACCTATTCAGGTATAAGGAAAGTTAGGAAATATGTATACATGTGAAAACTGCTATCATTAAACTGTATGGTTGAAGATGAGAGATCAGTGGTCTTAAAAAAAAACTAAACTATGGAATTTTTGAGGCTTTTACTAAGTTAGGAAATTAAAAATGAAAATACCTGTTTCTGAGCATTTTCTTGTATCTGTTTATATTATATAGTGAGTATTTCTCATTTGTCCAGAAGGTGGCAGTGTAATATCAACTGCATCTGATGCAGAGGCTAGCTAGAGAATTGGTGTTTCTCCAATTCTCTGTATCTGTGATGTGTTTGTATTGTTACCTTACTGAATACTTAAAATATAGTACAAACGCTACTAATTTTATCCATTATCTTATTTAGAAGTTGTGTGACCAAGTTGGTTTATATGTATTTAATCATTAAGCCTCAAGTTTAATTTAGAGTAAAGAGGGCAAACAGACCTTGCTAGTATATTTTTAAGTCTCCTTGTGTGTTGAGCATATTTGTTTTTATTCTAGAATACATATTGAAGTTTTCTTTTCAAAGACTAGTACCTAATAACTATCTTGTTTAATATATATCAGTTAATACCAGTTAAATTAAACATGTTATTAGGCAAGTGAGAATAAATAGGAGATTGCTGTTTATTTTTGATTCTGTGGATGTTTTTTCCTTTCCTTTTTCTTCTGAGGGTGGAACAGTGAAAAATAATTCAAAACCTCTTGATCAGAAGAGCCCCAGCGACTCTCCTTCCCTCCCTCATTTCAAGTAGGAGGATGCTTTTTCTTCTTAACATTCTCCCCCAGTACTCTGAATTAGAGATTTATTTGCAACGAAAAATCAATTAGCCCTAAATTTATTCATGGATTTCAGGTCCAGCGATCAATGCAAGTCCACTCAGTGGGCTCAAGGGGACCCAGTTCATCCCAGTTAATGTGTCTGAAGGGGAATTACCGTTGATGCTATTTTTTTCCCTTTAGGTCAGAGATCAGATCTCGCTGTCACGGACTGCGGCAAGTAGGAATGACTTCACCCTGCAGCTACCCAGACTGCACCTGGAGACCTTTGCAATGGAGGGGCTCAAGGGCGGGCCAGAGGTTGTAGCGTGCCAGGTTAGAGTCTAAATTACATTGTTTGCTACCGAGACACGTAGAGAAAGAAATTGCACTAACTGCGGAGAATGGAAGCCTCAAAGTATTGTGACTATCTTGAAGAAGATGCAAATAATTTTTCCTCATTTTTCTTCCGTCATGTAACACTATATTTCACAAATAATTGTGTTTTTTTCTTTAAAGCCTAGAGCTAGCCAATTAAATAATCCAGAAAAGTTTTTTATTTTTTACCAAGGAAAAACGTGCGGTTTATAGCTAAGTACAGTATTGAAAGAACATACTTTTTGGGCAGCAGAGGACAATAAGGCGCTAGGCTGTTATCTCTTTAAGCTAGTCTGAATTTGTAGCTCTTATTGTTTTACAATAAATCACTTTAGGTAAAATTATCAGGAGAGATATTTGATATTTTTCAGTGTTAATTCCAAAGTATATCCAACATTTCTCAGGTGGCAATTTAATTTCAGCAAATCTACAACCTAGCTGCCCTTTGCATTGAAAAGTATCTTATACTTCAATGTTTAGTTTTAATGAACTTTGTTATATGTGCCAGCTGGGTTATTTCACTTATAAAACTCAAAGCACCAAATCATAAAACCTCAAATAACTTTAAAATAAACCTAATAAAGATACTTATTTTCAAAAACATATTTATTTTCAGATGCTGCAGCTAGCTTTCTGTTCTAGGTTACTATTAGGTTATTGTGATCATTTTTCTCCTTAGGGTTAAAAATATTTTTTAATCAGACAAAACAAAATTTAGTATGTATTTTATTCTCCCTTTAATGCCCAGTTTCTTTATTAGAAAAATCTATCGACACTATGTAAACTATAGGGAGCCTGGTAATTCAAAAGAGGTTGTCCTTGTTCAGTAGCACCCTAGATTTTTCAATGTATTTAAGGGAAATATCTCTTAAAACTCAGTCCCTTTCACATTTTGAGGTTTAAGATAAACTTTTTTCATTCTTCAGTTTATGACCCCGTAAAATTTTAACTTCGTACAAAATTAACGTCAGTCCAAGTGGGGCTATGTTAATTTTTTTCTGCATGCTCCATACCCTAATTTAATTTGTTATTAGTACTCAAATTAATGCTCAACAAAGAAAAAATGCTTGTTGTTTCTTTCATTAGATTGTCCACCAATATATCTAAAACATATGTAATTGTAAAACGAAGCATAAGGCATTTTTATTTTCAGTTATAGGCTAGAATACTGTACCATTATTTAGTACAAGATTAAGATATACATTTAAAACTTGATTATATTTAAGTACAATATGATTTGAGATTTTTCTAGTGGTTGTAAAGTAATCCTTTGCTTGGTTATCTTAATTCGGAATCTCACAGGGCTTAGTACTTGTCATAATTCACAAATAAAGACTTCCCCCAAACTCTAGATTGTGGTGATTTGGAAAGAGACTGCTTCTTAGGAATGCCATTTTTTGAGGCAAAGCATGAACTCTATAGAGTTCTGACATCTGTGTATAACAAGAAGGAAATGGATGGGCTTGTATTTTAAACTACTATCTTTTCCAAGTTCTAATAAAAATAGTTATGTGGGTTGCCAGATACCTGAACACTTGGGTAAATTTTGTATTGACGTGCATTGTAGTTTAGTAATATATGTTTTGGTTTAGTATCCTGTGCAGAGAAGAGCACATATTTGGGTCCTAATAGTGTTTGACACACACACACACACACACACACACACACACACACACACGGGCACAATTGTTGATATGGAGTACTTTGAGAAGTAAGGCACTGTATTAATTGAAGACCTTAATTATAATAATAACTATAATAATAATAATAAGTACCATTTTAGTGAGCACTTACTGTGTAACAGGTATCATGCTTAGCTGTTTAAATAAATGATCTCAGTTAATTCTCACAATGGACCTGTCAGATAGATAACATTATTTCCATTTTACAGTTGAAAACAACAACTATAGCAGGTAACTCTCCTCAGATCGACAGCAAGTAAATGGTAAGGCCTAGAGTCTGGGTTTAAGTCTGGGTGTATTTGACTGCAAAGCCTGAACTGGTAAAATCTGACAGTAAAAATCTAGATGCCTGTGTTAAATGGTAAGAGTGAAACCTTTGAAATCTACAGTGGAGTTTTTCTTCCATTTACAAAGTATACATTCTGCATCTGTGTATGATGTAGGTCATAGTTTATGCTGTATTGTAGACAAATTCACAGATACAAAATTGTGTTTCCATTTGACAGGCTAATATTATAGAACTCTACTTTTCACCTTTTTGCAGTTTGTAAATATATATATTTATGCTAAGTGTGGCTACATATTTAGGAATTCAGTATTTGTTTAGCTTTGTACTGTGTGCTGATGAAGTGGACTACTCAAAGCATGCACAGCTTTCGATTATGATGAGGGGAGGACCACTATGCAGGATGTGGTAGTGTCTGAATTATTTGGCCAACATATACAACCATCATTTAGAGCGGTAGGAGCTGAAGTTTTCCTAGACAGCCACTGTCTGCCTTTTCCAAAGGGGCAAGCTTTATTATAGGTATAATCCTTGATGGAAGGAAGGCCAATGAGCATGACTGAAAGTTGAAGAGGATGAGTGGATTACCTTATCTCTCTGTACCCAGAAGGGCATGTGCCTGATACTCTTCTACAGGAGATAATTCAGTTCATCTAGTCTCTGCGATCTGCTAGCTTTTAACCCTGATTTCCTTATCTGCAACAAAGTGTAATGCTGACAATTTCTCAGGCTTGTAGTAAGTTTGAATGAGGCAATGCATGTAAAGCAGAGAGCACAGTGCCCAGCACAAAGAAAGCAGACAATGCACGGTGGCTCTTATTACTGCTGACCAGTATGGGAAACATTGTAAAGATGAAGTAAGCAACAGTAGCTTGATTTTATTACTTTTGAGGGGTGTGTGGGGGTGGTTTTGTTTTTAAAGAAACGGTTACTTAGAATCTTTTCTCTATATCTTTCCATTTGTTTCCTTCAGTCTTCCTTGTTTCTCCAAAAGCTTCAAATAATTTTGATTAAGATCAACTGTAGCTCCCTATTTACTTTTCCTTGTTACTTGATGTTCCAGTGAGGCCATGTTGCCAATGTAACCCCTGTTTAAGCTCCTATGGCAAGTTTAGAACTATTACACCTGGGCTTTTATCTCCTAAATAACAGCATATTAGTCTACTAGGATACTGGAAAAAAAATAAAACACCTAGATTAGACAAGTTAGCTTTCGCTGAAAAGCCCAGTACAGTGTGGATGCAGAGGACTTTGTAAGAAAAAATATTCTGCCCATACTTTATAAAGATACCTGTTACTCATCGTCTTATACTTTGAATTGTGTTTTTTCCAATAATTATGGTATGTGATGCTTTTAATATCTGGAAAATATCAGCAGGCATCCAACAAATGTTTGTGCCTCCATTCCCATTCAACAATAAACAACACAGAACAATATCAATATTGATATTATTGAGTGCTTATTCTGTACCAGTTACTGTGCTAAGCACCTTACATTTACTCTCTCATTTAATCCCTGCAACAACCCTGTGAATAATAGGTGCTTTGCTTTTATCTATTTTACAAAGGAAGAAGCTGAAATTTACTGAGATGAAGTAAATTGCTAAAGGTCACATATCCAGGGAGTAGGGTGACCGGTCCATTCATTCTTTTAATCATGCCTTTCTGCCTTTTGTAAACCATGGCATAGTGTTGTGTGTGTGTGTGTGTGTGTGTGTGTGTGTGTGTGTTTGTTTTAGGGTAGCTGAGAGGAAAAAAGAATAAAGGTAGGGTCTGTCTATAAAATACAATTTCGTTTGTGAGGAGATCATGGCGAGAATAGAAATCCAAAAGAGATTAATGGGGAAAGTTACTTAAACTGTGTATTTCAGCCTCTTCATCTATAAAATGAAAATAATAGAAGTTTCTAACTCAGTGTGACTATTGAATGGGTTAATCCACCTGAAGTGCTTAGAATAGTGACAGGTACATTGTAAACACTCAGTATTTATTAGCTCTCCACTAACATGAAAGGTCGTGAGACCAGGAACTTGGTTTTGTTCACTGCTGCATCATCAGAGCTCAGAACCCTGCCTCACATAGAAGAGGCCCTCAGTATGTATGGGTGAATGAATACTTGATTTCAGACACTGGTTAAGGTGCCTTAGGAAGCTGCTGTGCCTAAGTTGTGCACACCTGTAAGAGACTTGGGATCAATTTTCTTTTTTTAACTTCTGAACCCACTTTATTTAAAAGGAAAAGTCCCCCGAACCATCTCATAAAAGTGTTTAAGGCTTAGTGCACAATAACTATACCTCTGGAAATGTAGTATATTTTATAAATATATGTGTATAAACACTTCATTAGAAAGGCTTCATTGTGAAACCATTTATTTATGAAGATTTTAAACAAGAGTCTTTACCGTAAATCCAATAATCCTTTAATCACCTATAACCTACCGTGTTATTGGTACCAAAGTCCTTACTTGGTATGGTTGTTTGTTATGTGCAATACCCGCAACTTTTGGGATACCATGGTTTTTTACATTTAACTTACCTTCCAGGCATAGAAATTTCTTCCAGCTATTTTGTTGTATTTATAAAGTTAAATCATAAAAGGGCATCTTGAAGGGATTTTTTTTTTTTTTTTAATATAGAGAAGGAACAAATACCTTGTACCTAAGTACCTAAACTGTCAGGGAATAAAAATATCAAGAATCACTCTTAATAATTTTTCACATGTGTTCCCAGTTACACTGCTTAATGCAGCAGCCTTCTAATTGTTGTATAAGAAATGTCTTCATTTGGGCATAGTTAGAAGTTAAAGAAATGTTAGGCAATTTTATTTGAAATCTTGCATTATGTAGATATTTTCTTCTCCAAGTTATTCCATCCCCATAAGTGAATTTTCAGATCTCTGATTATTTTTTAAAACATGAAAATTAGCCATTTTGAATGGAAATATTGCTAAATATGTAGAATACTAAATATGTAAAAGTGCCCAGTTGTCCC